TTATTTGACCCACCGCAGGCATGGTCCCATGCCCAAAACAGTTCCAGAGAATCAAAACTTGCGGTCGGTCTAGTTCGGTAGTTTGAAAATGAACAAACTACCGAACAGAGTCAATAGTCTTACCCTGGAGCTTGTTTTTCTCATCCAGACGAATGATCTCACTGAACAGTGCCCTTCTAAGTTGTATAGAAATGAACGCAGGCGATGATGGAAGTCCAGCAGTGTTCGGGAGTTTCTGTGTCCGATTTTAGTTCCATGAGATTCATGCCCAAATACCGCTGCCCCGTTCTCGTGAACAAGATTGCCGCCACCTTGTGGTTGTCCATAGGAATTGTGGCCACCCAGATGAACAATTAGAACACTGCAGTGAGAAACGTTCCAAGTTGTTAATAGGTGTTTACAAGCTCCAGTGTGGTCTCTGGTTCGTGCGGTTGTTCGGTAAATTAACCATATAGTCCCAGTTGCACAAACAAAGCCTGTTTAAAGTATTTTAGTCAAGTCTATTGCAGGGGCCATAGTCAAAGGGTAGGAGGCTGGCAAACAGGCCCCTCCAAAAACCAGTGGCAAGTTTACTTTCGCCACAATATTTAATTATTAAGTAGACTTTATTATATCCATCTCTTTATTAAAGTTTTGTACAAAGTAGACTTGAAGATTCAGAATTGGCAGAATCACAATTCGGCTAAATTTGGGCTGATCGGCTAATTCGCTGGTAAAACTGAATTCCGATTTGCCACATGCCCTAATGTGCGAAATCCTGAAATTCAGATATACCTTAACTCTAATATTGGTAGGCATACTTTATTACCTGGGATTCTGATACACCTTACCTCTAATATTGGTAGGCATAGTTTATTACCTGGAATTCTGATACACCTTACCTATAATATTGTTAGGCATACCTTATTACCTGGAATTCTGATTCACCTTACCTCTAATACGTTATTGGTAGGCATACTTTATTACCTGGAATTCTGATACCCCTTACCTCTAATATTGGTAGGGATATTTTATTACCTGGAATTCTGATACACCTTACCTCTAATATTGGTAGGCACACTTTATTACCTGGAATTCTGATACCCTTTACCTCTTATATTGGTAAGCATACTTTAATACCTGGTATTCTGATACCCATTACCTCTAATATTGGTATGCATACTTTATTACTTGGAATTCTGATACACCTTACTTCTAATACTGGTAGGCAAACTTTATTATCTGGAATTCTGATACCCCTTACCTCTTATATTGGTAGGCATACTTTTGTTAGGGACCAGGAACCAGACAGAGATAGAAGTAGATGCAAAAACACCTATATTGATAAATAGAAAATAAAGTAATAACCAAAAGCAAAATCCAGGAGGCAAGCAGGGGTCAGGCACCAAAGCAGGTAGTCAGAAGAGCCAGGATCAGGAGAACGGAGAGCAGTGAAGTCAGGAACAAGGCCAGAGTCAGGAACCAGGACCAAACAGGAACTCACAGGAACAAGGTGACTTCTGGGGAACAGGAAAATAAGCAAGGGCAAGGAGGTACTGGGATTTGCTGCTTAACCCCTTAACGCCGTTACGGCGTTCTATGCCGTCGCGGCTTTAAAGGGCTTTAAAGCCGCTGTGGCGGCATAGAACGCCATAACGGCTTTCTGCCCCAGGGGATCGCAGCTATTTACCTCCGCTGCGATCCTCTTCTGGAGGGCTGCCAGACCGGGTAGCAGATCAGACCAGTTGTTCTGGTGGTCAGAAATGTAGCAATGCAGAAACTGCTCCAAGGCTTGGTTAGCTCATTCCGCGGCACCATTGGATTGCAGGTGGTAGGCCGAGGAGTAGGAAAGCTGAATTCCCATTTGTGTACAAAATACTCTCCAAAATCTGGACACAAACTGGCTACCCCTATCTGAGATTATTACTTTGGGTAACCCATACAAACGAAAGACCTCCCTAACAAAAATAGTTGCAAGTTCTTGAGAAGTTGGTAGTTTGTTCAAGGGAATGCGTATGAACGTCCGATAATAATTGGCTTGTTGGTAGGCATACTTTATTACCTGGAATTGTGATACCCCTTACCTCTAATATCGGTAGGCATACTTTATTACCTGGAATTGTGATACACCTTACCTCTAATATTGGTAGGCATACTTTATTACCTGGAATTGTGATACACCTTACCTCTAATATTGGTAGGCATACTTTATTACCTGGAATTCTAATACACCTTACCTCTAATATTGGTATGCATACTTTATTACCTTTCTGTTTTAAAGAAAACTGCATATTTTGCATACACTGCATATTTTCATCACTATTATTAAAGGGTTATCCCAACCACCGTGACCACTTTAGTAACTCTACTTTAGGCAGTGCCTGTAAGGGGAAGTTTTAATCTCTCCTCCTTTCCTTATTTTAGACCTCTCCAGTCTCCCCTCCCTTCCATAGTACTGCACAATCAAGGTTGGTGCCACCATAAGATGGCACAGGAAGCTGTCCTGGGGAGCAAAAGCCCAGGGGCACAAAGAAGTCCAGGTGACTGGCAATGAGTTGAAAAAAAATGATAGAAAACTTGCGTTGCGCTGGTCACTCTCTGTATGTGTAATGTGCCCAATACCCATGTGACAGAGTACATACTGACAGGGCCGCCATCAGGGGGTGACGTCCGGACCCCACATGGAGCGGCGAAACTGCTGCAGGTGCATCTGCACCGGGGCCCATCAGGTGGCCTGAGCATTTAGGGCCACCCGATGGGCCCTATATCTTCAGGGTCCCGGTCAGCACTGCGGCCGGGTAATAGCCCCTTTAAAAAAAAAAAAATTGCGGCTACACCGTCACTTCCAGAGGCATCCACTCCCATCATCTCCTGCAACTTAAAGGTAAGAGGAGGGTGGCTGATAAATTAAGTGTGTTTCTGGTAACTATAGTGTCCTTTCAATAAAAATATGTATGAGTCTGCATGTATGTCAGTATGTATGTGTGTATGTATGTGTCTATCTGTATGTGTGTGTGTATGTCAGTATGTATATATGTCTGTGTGTGTGTCAGTATGTATGTCTGTGTGTATGTCAGTATGCATGTATGTCTGTGTATGTCTGTGTTTGTCAGTATGCATGTATGTCTGTGTATGTCTGTGTATGTCTGTGTATGTCTGTGTGTGTGTGTGTGTGTGTGTGTATGTCAGTATGTATATATGTCTGTGTGTATGTCAGTGTGTATGTCAGTATGTATATATGTCTGTATGTATGTCAGTATGCATGTATGTCTGTGTATGTCTGTGTGTGTGTATGTCAGTATGTATATATGTCTGTATGTATGTCTGTGTGTATGTCAGTATGTATGTCTGTGTGTATGTCAGTATGTATTTATGTCTGTGTGTGTGTCAGTATGTATGTATGTATGTATGTATGTATGTATGTCAGTATGCATGTATGTCTGTGTATGTCTGTGTGTGTGTATGTCAGTATGTATGTATGTCTGTGTGTATGTCAGTATGTATGTCAGTATGCATGTATGTATGTGTATGTGTATGTGTCTATCTGTATGTCTGTGTGTATGTCAGTATGCATGTATGTCTGTATGTATGTCTGTATGTATGTCTGTGTGTATGTCAGTACGTATGTTTGTGTATGTCAGTATGCATATATGACTGTGTGTGTGTGTCAGTATGTATGTCAGTATGCATGTATGTCTGTGTGTGTGTGTATGTCGGTATGTGTGTATGTCTGTGTGTATGTCAGTATGTATGTATGTGTGTATGTCAGTATGTATGTATGTAGGTATGTTTGTATGTATGTCAGTATGCATGTATGTCTGTGTATATCAGTATGCATGTATGTCTGTGTATGTCTGTGTGTGTGTATGTCAGTACGTATATATGTCTGTATGTATGTTTGTGTGTATGTCAGTATGTATGTCAGTATGCATGTATGTCTGTGTATGTATGTGTGTATGTCTGTATGTATGTGTCTATCTGTATGTGTGTGTATGTCAGTATGTATGTCTGTGTGTATGTCAGTATGTATATATGTCTGTGTGTGTGTCAGTATGTATGTGTGTATGTATGTCAGTATGCATGTATGTCTGTGTGTATGTCTGTATGTATGTGCATATCTGTATGTGTGTGTGTGTGTATGTCAGTATGTATATATGTATGTATGTCAGTATGTATGTGTGTATGTATATATCAGTATGTATGTCAGTATGCATGTCTGTGTGTGTGTATGTCAGTATGTCTGTATGTATCTGTGTGTGTGTGTATGTATGTATACCAGTATGTATGTGTATGTATGTCATTATGTATGTATGTCAGTATGTATTTATGTGTATGTATGTCAGTTTGTCAGTATGTGTGTGTATGTCAGTATGTATGTCTGTGTGTGTATGTGTATATGCATGTATGTATGTATGTATGTCAGTATGCATGTATGTCTGTGTGTGTATGTCAGTATGTCTGTATGTGTGTATGTGTCTATCTTTATGTGTGTATGTCAGAATGTATATATGTCTGTATGTATGTCTGTGTGTGTATGTCAGTATATATGTGTGTATGTATATATCAGTATGTGTGTCAGTATGCATGTCTGTGTGTGTGTGTGTGTATGTCAGTATGTCTGTATGTATCTCTGTGTGTGTGTATGTATGTATATCAGTATGTATGTGTAAGTATGCCATTATGTATGTATGTCAGTATGTATTTATGTGTATGTATGTCAGTTTGTCAGTATGTATGTATGTCTGTACGTTAGTGTGTGTGTCTGTATGTCAGTATGTGTGTGTGTGTGTGTGCATCTGTATCTGTGTATGTGTCTATATGTGTCTATGTCTGTTTCAGTATTTGTGTCTGTTAGTATGTGTGTATCTTCCTGTGTGTGTCCTTTTGTGTCTGTGTGTGTGTATTCCTGTGGATGGGATTTGGAGGCGGGGCTTGGAGGCGGGCAGCCGGGGGCCCAGACCTTGAGCTATGTTAGGGGCCCCACAATTTCTGATGGCGGCCCTGCATACTGACCCGTAGTACTCTGGTGCTGGCCAGGGGGGGGAAATTGTGCGGGTTTAGAGGGGATGGGAGCAGCAAAGAGCAGCTGCATTCATTCGCTTTTTATGAGCTAAAGGCTACTGGGATACATGATGTCATATCCCAGTGGCCGAGTGCTGTAGAGAGAAGGGCAGCTTCAATTGGCTGAAAAAAAGAAAACAGTAAAGTAAAACAGCCGTAGTCCATTGATTGAATAGATATTCAGATTCCATTTTCTCTGAAAGGGAAGGCATTTTGTTCATTTTAACCTGCTGCTAGGGTCCCTGGTCCCCTTATTGCATACATATATAGTGAGTACCATATGTACTCGCTATATATGTATGTATTTTTCTCTGAAAAGGCAGTTTTTACATTGAGAAGCCTGCAGGGACAGCCTGTAGACACCAGAACCAATACATTAAGCTGTTTCTGGTAACTATAGTGTCCTTTCAATAAAAAAAAATAAACAAAACTGTTCTCAAATTCTAAATCAATGATTCAAAGTTGTTGTTGAGTGACAAAGGCTACTAGACTTGTGCACTGTGAACATATTTTGGTTCTTCTAAACTGATACCGCTTGGATTCTCGAAATGATCTGGTTATGAAGAATTTCTATTTAATTTGAAATTGTTAAATTCCAAAGGACACCAAATCAACAGTATGCCTAACAGCTGCAGGTCCAACAGAAGAATTCAATTTCTGGACCATTTATTTTTTCCATGCAACCAACAAGGTGTAGATGCTCCGCTTATCAGTGACATTTGAACTTGATGACAACATTGTGAGGGCATTGATGACTTTATGCATATGGTTCCTGTTTGCCTTTACCGTGACTCATTAAATCAAACAGTTCGTGTGATGCACTATTATTAGGATGTTTTAGAGTCTAACTTTGTATATGGATGAATAGTTGCCAAACAAACAGAATTAAAAAAATAAAAAAAGTTTAGCAAAAATGGCTTAAACCCACATGGAACGGATGCTGCTTGAAAATATTGATTCATGGTGTATGATAAAATTAATTGATGTAGTTATATCATATATTATAGATATTTTTTAAAGATACAAACAGCAACATTACTATTGTGTCATTTTGGTTGGTGCACACAACCAAATTATTTTGCGTCAGTGGGAATAAAGGCAATAAATAAAATATGATGCAGATTTGTTTCTATATCAATATACTTAATTAGAACAATATCGCTGAATAAAAAATGTTGAAATGTTAATTTTGAGGATTAAATCGATTAACAGAGAAAGAAATACCACCCTGGATTAGATGCACGGGTAATGAAGTCCGAACATTATAGAAACATTGATATTCAAATCATTTTAATTTCTTACAATTAAATATACTAAATTATTTGGTAAGATTTAATCATATAATCCTGAGTAGAGAAAAGACTATGAACTTCAGGCACCATTAGTAAGAGAAGGTGGGGATCAGGGATCGCTAAATAAACACACAAGAGGCAAATAATGGAACTACTACATTCAGCTGCCCAAATTTATTTACACATCTAACATTCAGCTTTTAGGTGCCTCTTTCTTCTTTCACACACGTCTCATTATCCAACGCCCATGATGGTTCTGCATGGGGAGACCATTGTCTTCTTTTCAAATGATGGATAAACACAACACAAACAGCAGAGATTAAATGACCCTTAAAAGGTAACCTGAGGGTTTGGGGTGAGGGGAATGTAATCGTATTGAAATGCAAAGACTTTTATGGAGCATAAGCTTACTAGTTCCACCAGCTTCTCTGAGAATAGATACAAAACGTCAAATAGATACTAATGGAAAAAAAAATGAATATTGAGAAATCTGTGTGTGTCTCTAAGTAAATATAGTGTCTAGTCGCCAGCTTTAAGCAAATCTGAGTTACACAAACCTACAATAGCTCAAACAGGTGTGCTAGAATTGTGTGTTCTGTTGTGGCGAAGTTAGGTTATGAGCCTAGTTGGGATAATATGAATATATCAAGCTGCACTACAATAGTAGGATTATGTGACATTATACCCAAAGGCAAATTATAACCCTCCCTACAAAATAAGCAGTTTAATGGTATATTATATACTATTAATCCATGACCTGAATAAAGAGATTTTCTAGGCTACTCTTTTTAATACAATCTATGGAGAACACATTAAACAAGTGCAATATATATGCAACAAATAAATAACTGAAAACAATTAAATGCCTGTGTCTGATCCAGGATTTTCCAGGAATGCCCAGTCTTTGCAGTGTGTCTTCAGTGAGGTTTTATTAAACCAGGAAGTAACTCAGTTCTTCGGTGCAATTGCAGAGGGATGCTGTCACTAGAGGTGGATATGATAATACCCATAAACTTTGGTCTTGATCGTGCACTGCTGCTTGAGTCCGCAGGATGATCATAAGATTTCTCTGGTTGTTCGTGGTAGAGCAGCTGCACTCTCTTGTGGTTCCTGTGCTCTTTGAGGGAGTCAGAGAGCAGGCACCGGATTTTACAGACTGCACTCTGAAATCATCAAAGAACGTCTGAACCACAGGGGAGAGCGGCTACACCAACAGTCCACTGGACCACTAGGGGATGAATGATAACACCCTTTCCTGCACAGGAGGTAAGGGCCATCTTTAATGCGGAGCAAACAGGGCAGCTACCCTGGGTCAATATAGTCCTGGGGGGCCCAAGGCAACTGTCTCATAGACTAGCTGCCTGCAACTATTTCTTTTAGAGGCCCCATGGGCACACCAGTGCTGGTGGTGCATCTACAGCGAGTCTGGACATTAAGGGGGATCATCAGGTGTAACATGCACTTAGGGCCACCCAGTGGGCATTTATCAGCACAGGCCCAGTTGGGCACTGTGGTCCTTTAACAATGTGACCGGGGAGCCTTCTAAAGGCAGCCTGGGAGGAAGTGAGTGCCTGTCACTTCCTCTCAAAAAGACTGGATTCAAGCAGGAGGGAGGAGGAGGCAGTGAGAAGGGGGGCTTGATTAGGACCCCCACCAGCACACTGAACCCCAAAGAGGCCTGCACCCAAAAGATAAGAAACTGGAGGGTGGATGTAAAAGTGTCAATTTTGCATGTGTGTCAGTTTGTCTGTCAGTGTGTGTGTCAGTATGTCTGTCAGTGTACATGTCTGTGTGTATCAGTATGTATGTCAGTGTGTGTCTGTGTGTCAGTATGTCTGTCTGTGTGTGTCAGTATGTCTGTCAATGTGCCTGTGTGTGTTTGCCAGAGTGTCTCTCTGTGTGTGTCATTATGTCTGGCAGTATGCGTCTCTGTGTATGTGTGTCAGCATGTCTGGCAGTGTGTGTCTGTTTGTGTGTCATTATGTCTGGCAGTGTGTGTGTGTCTGTATGTGTGTCAGTATGTCTGTCAGTAAATGTGTCTCTGTAAATGTATTTGTGTCAGTGTGTGTGTGTATTTGTATGTTGTCATTGTGTAACCAGGTCCGCCATCAGGGGGTGACAACCATGATGCTTGCCACCAGCCCGGCCGTCCTGGGGGGCCCGGACTGCACTACTAATGCTCTGCGTATCTAGGCCCCCTGCCCTCCAATGTATGTATATATATATATATATATATATATATATATATATATATATATATATATGCCTCTGCGGGCCCTCTGGCTTCACACTGACCTCACGTTCTGGCATTCACCACACAAACACACACACTGCATTCAACATACACACAGCATCCACTACACAAATACACACTCTCCAGTCACTATACACACTTTGCAGTCACAATACACACTGCATCTGATACACACATACACTACATCCACAACACAAACATACACACACTCTACATTCACTATACACACACACTACATCCACTACACACTCTGCAGTCACTATATACACTGCATCCACAATACAAACATACATTATATCCACTACACAAACACACTCTGCATCTAATACACACAAACATACAATCTGAATCCACTATAAACATCGTGTAGACAACACAAACCCTATCCACTTTACTCGAGCACTTTGCATCCACTACACACATTTTACATACACTATACACACATCAAATTCAGTACACACACACTTTATCCTTGTGGGTGGCCTTAGGATGGACCCTGAGGGGGACTCGGGGGCAGACCATGAAAGCGGAATAGGGGGTGTGACAAAATGCCTTTTGTCACTGGATTGTTAGGTGACAAGCTTCCCTTTGCCCCTGGCTGTTGGAGGAGCCTGATTGCCAGCTTCCCTCCTCATGACTATGGCCCTGGGGTGTATTGCCATTTAAAAAGACTATTTGGGGCTTATGGCTTCTAAAGACTGTTTCTGCCCATTTGAATCCATGGGAAGGTGTGTTTTTTCCTCTCCCCCGTTTCCTGTCTATTGTTCTCCAGCAGGGCGTTGTCCCAAGCACACTGCCAAACCAGTTGGAACTGACTGCTTTTGTCCCTCCTTGGTTTCTCAACAGCCCATGCTATGCTTTACCCCATGGCAAATTTACTCTGTTCATGGGATCTGAGCGCTGTTCACCTAGATTGGGCGCTCAGATCCGAGCTATCTGGGGATAGGTTAAATGTGGGGGTTCTGTGTAATATAATAAGAATTATGTATTTGTATGTACTTTTACGTATTTTTGCTGTTAGTGTAAAATGTAGATATTTTCTGTACCTGGAGATAATTGAGTTTACTGCAGTGCCTTAAGCCAATTATCTCCAGGATGGAGAGGAGGGATTTCATTGTGTATGTGGGAGTGTTATTATGTTAATTAGTGTTCCCATTGGTTTGTGTCCCTTTTGTCACAGTTTACCACCAGGTCCAGGGGGTGTGCCTCTGGCCTGAAAACTTGTATATAAGGAGTAATAAACGCTCATTGGAGTCAGATCATCTTGTACCTTCATGAAGTTTCGGCTCATGTTTGGGGGATTGGAGAACTACACTCTGGGGATTGCTATAATCACTATACTCCCCAGGGTATAATCACTAAGCTCTGCTAAGAGCTTGTTCCTGTTCCTGCTCTCTGGAATTCGGAGAGGTCGACCTACTGGAAGCTGGACCCTGGTCTTGGGTCCAGAGTGGGTGGAGACGGCGAGACCCCAACTAAGCTGCAGCGGTTTGTGGGGTCTGCAGTGGTTATGGTGTCGGGCAGAGTGCTTGGAGTCCTCGGAAAGCACTAGGAGCATCCGTCAGCGGAAGGTACCTGGTTGGGGTGCCAGCAGTTCTGTTACAGGGGGCATACAACGTGGGCAGGCTCAGAGACAGGCTCAGGAGTAGGCCCTGGGGGCCCAGACTTTGGGTTGCATCTGGGACCCCAGCATTTCTGATGGCAGCCCTGTGTGTAACTGTATGTTGTCAGTATGTGTATATGCATCAGTGTGCATCTGTGTGTGTCAGTGTACCTGAATTATGTAGTCAGTGTGTGTATCTGTGCATCTGCATGAGTACCAGTGTTTGAATCTGTGTGTCTGTGTGTCAGGTTGTGTATCTGTGTAACTGTATGTTGTCAGTATGTGCATCTGTTTGTGTATATATCAGTGTGTATATCTGTGTGTGTATCTGTGTTCAAACGCCAACACTACACACAAATACACCCCTGCATTCAAACTTTAACACTACATACAAACACACTCCTGCATCGAAATGTCAAGACTACAAACACACTTCTGTGTTACACAGCAAAATTATTTATACATGCACCTATCAAAACCAACACTACTGACATGCCCTCGCCAGCCTGACACTTACCTGCACCACTCCTCACTGCCATACGCTGGACCATGCTGCATCATAGGAAGCAGGAGCCGCAACTAGTCATTCAAGCCCGACCTAATGATCAAGCACAATAATCAGACAAGATGCATGACCACCGATCATGTGGATTCTAAAAGGAGGAAAGTGGGACACCTTAGGAGGTGAGTCAATGTTCTCCTATTTAAACATGCTCATGCCTGATACCTGTGCTCATTATTCTGTGCTCCTTGTTCCTGTCAAGCAATTGCTCAGGGGAGCTAACAGAAACCTCTGCAAACCTCCCTGGCCACTTGATTGACAGCCTAGGGGTGATCCCTAGTTTATTTTTTAAAAGTGCTGGTTTCTCATAGAAATTGGCACTTTTGTAAACAGGGATTAAGCTAGGATATTCCTTACCCATAAAGCACTTCAGCAAACTAAAGTTATTTTGGGGTGTGGAATGGTCCTTTAACTGATATTGACTAATGGCACATTGACTGCCAAAACTCACAGTAACCTCATTGTCAAAAGCTGTTTTTTTTTTTAATTTGGCCCAGATTACTTAAAATATCATTGAAGATTTAATCAAAAATCAATATATAATGTAACATTTGATGCACTTTGGTGTCATACCTGTTATTTGAATAAATGCCTTTCATAAATAAAGAATAAAAAAAGAGAAACAGATTGTATTAAAATTATTAAAAATCTAATTTTCTACACAAACCATCCCTGTTGTTTCACAGTGGATCACCACAGAAAAGGTCTACCCTCAGCATACCTCATTGACACATTTTAAAAAGGGCTCTAGTCACAGCAGTAGGTCAGTTATATTTACTGTTATGTCATATGATGCTGCGGAAAATGTATATATTCTCTGCAGATAAGATAACTGCAAATGTCCCTGTTGAAATCATTGCATTGTTTTAAAACATATTCAACAACAATTTTAGCAACTAATAAACCTTCCTGGATGTTCTTGAAAATGTTTTTCACAATACTGAGGATAATTAAATTTTATGAATAGAATTACAAAACAGATCACCTGGAAAATCAAGTATACTTGACAATTTAGATATTTTTTTTTGTTAATTTGGCCAAAATATTGTAATACCTGCACAATACAATGCCATTTTCTTGCTTAGTTAAGTATAAGAACTGCTCTGTTTTCACTAGGACACACCTTATCCCACAGTGATATAAGATGACAGTGTAATGGTAAATATAGGCTGTAGTCATAGCTTTGTTAATGGAAGTTCAATATATTTACTGTTGGGTAATGATTAACAAAGTATTTTATTGGAACCCATGGGAGAATAGAGAAGAATCATGTGATGTGTATTTTTTTTTTAGATTGAAAGAAGAATGCAGACATCTCTGATTTAATTATTTTAGTTACATTAAATGAGTATTCATTACAGAATATAGCCTGAAGCAGTTTTCATTATTAGTTTCTTGATTCTTCATTAGCGCTTAAGATGTAACTTGCAGTGAGTTTAAAGATATGTTCTTAAACTTTTGCCCAATGTAATTAAATAAGGAAGATTTCCAACTGTTCTGTCTTTTACAGGTCCAAACTTGGAGTCATGTCCCCCATCTTGGTTCTGGACTCTAATGTCCCGTTTCCGGTGACATCAGAGACAGAGTTCTAAGAAAGTACAGAGGGAGCATATCATATCATAAGGTGTGCTTGCGCTCTGTAAAGTGACCACCGGGCATTAAGCCCATGTGAGAGCCCATGTGAGAACACAGAGCCCCACACATGGGCTGCCCTAAGTGGAACTTCAACTCTGTTAGTGGCATCTCAGTTACACATTGGGCATGTACAAATCTAGATATCATACAAGTAGTGGGATTGCAGAGAACAAAAGTGGAACAAGGCTGTTAAAGTGTGTTGTGCATGTGTGGGGATGCTCCCTGTAGTATTGTATGTGTTTGGAGGTTGTTTGTGGCATTGCATGTGTGTAGAGGAGACTGTTTGTGTTGTAGTGTGTAAAGGGGTCTGTTTGTGGTGTACCCTTAGTTCTTAATACTGTGTTTTGCCCTCTTTAGCTTCAATGACAGCATGCATTCCTTTGTAATAGTTGTCTATGAGGCCCCTAATTCTTGCAGGTGGTATAGCTGCCCATTTGTCTTGGCAAAATGCCTCCAGGTAATGCAAAGTCTTTGGTCATTTTGCATGAACCGCACGTTCGAGATCTCCCCAGAGCTACTCAATGATATTAAGGTCAGGAGACTGTGATGGCCTCTGCAGAACTTTCACCTTTTTATGCTGTAACCAACTTGGAAAGTCTGCTGGAAAGTCCAAGAATGTCCCATGCGCAGCCTTTGTGCAAAAGAATGCATATTGTCTACCTGTATTTTCTGAAACATGCTGCATTCATCTTTCCATCAATTTTCACAGGATTCCTCATGCTTTTATAGCTCCCCCCTACACCCCACCCCCAAAACATCAGTGATCCACCACCATGCTTCAATGTGGGGATGGTATTCTTTTCACTATAGACCTTGTTGACCTCTCTCCAAACATAGCACTTATGGTTGTGTCACTCTGAATTACAGTGTGCCAGAAGCTGTGCGGTGTGTCAAGGTGTTGTTGGGCATATTGTAACCAGGCTTTTTTGTGGCATTAGCGCAGTAAAGGATTCTTTCTAGCAACTCAATCATGCAGTTCATTTTTGTTCAAGTATCATTGTATTGTGCTCCTTGAAACAGCCACACCGTCTTTTTCCAGAGCAGCCTGTATTTCTCCTGAGGTTACCTGGGGGGGTTTTCTTTTTATCCCGAACAATTCTTTTGGCAGTTGTGGTTGAAATTTTTCTTGGTCTGACCTTGGCTTGGTATCAAGAGATCCCCAAATTTTTCACTTCTTAATAATTAATTGAACAGTACGGACAGGCATTTTCAAGGCTTTGGATATCTTTTCATATCCTTTTCCATCTTTATAAATTTCCATTACCTTGCTACGCAGGTCTTTTGACAGTTCTTTTCTGCATCCATGGCTCAGTATCTAGCCTACTCAGTGAATCAATTGGCGAGCTAACAAACTCATTGACTATTTATACACTACTTGCAATTTAAAAAGCCACAGTGTTGTAAATTAACCTTTTAAATGCCATGTTAACCTTTGCGTGTCATCTAGGGATGTGCATTGGCAAAAAAATTTGGTTTGGTTCGGAAATTTAGGTAAGTAAAAAAATTTGTATGCTTCGGCAATTCAGACCGATGGCATTCGTTTTAGTTCGGCACTTCGGAACTGCCAAACATCGTCACTTCGGAACTTCGACGCTTCAGAACTTCGTACTTCGGACATTCGTAGGCATCCGAATGTCAGAATTGCATGAAATTCTTACGAATGTATATTCAGAACTAAACTAATTGCACATGTGTATTGCTCATTTCATTGGACAGGGAAAAGTGAAACCGGATTGGGCAAATAAGCATGACATTGCACAAAAGGAATTAGCTTATTGTTCAAGATTCCTGTCATCATTCACGTAATTTTCACTCCCTCTCTCTCGTTTTGCCACTTTTCAGAAATCTGAATCACTTCGGCACTTCGGAGTTTCTGCGCTTCGTTGCTTCGGCACTTCCGAACTACAGAACTTCGTCACTTCCGTACTTCGGTGCTTCGGGACTTCGGCACTTAGGACATTTGTAAGCATCTGAATGTCTGAATGGCATGAAACTCGTACAAATGTACATTTGGAACGAAACGAATTGCACATGACTAGTGTCATCTTGTGTGTCTGTAACAAGGCCAAACATTCAAGTGCATTTAAACCTTTGATCCGGGCCATTTGGGTGATTTCTGTTATCATTATAATTTAAAAAGGAGCCAAACAACTATGTGATAATAAATTGCTTCATATGCTCACTATCCTTCAATAAAATATTTTCACAATTTCTGCCAGGGTATGCAAACTTTTGAGCACAACTGTGTATAGTATATAGCAATGGAAACGTAACTTTATAATATATATATATTAGCACTGTCATACATCATGTAATGGGACATGTTATTCCTCTCTCAATATTACAGGGAACACAAGGCTATCGATGAAGGAGGGTCAAATTAGACTCCACTTTGTGATCCAGCCAGGGTTGGCTTCTCGCAGCAGTGCACATGTGCAAGAATCAGAATAGCAACCCATGAAGCAAGTCAATCAGTGTTTGATGTAGTTTCCCCCACACTGCCTAGACAGGGCTTTAAGGGCCACTAATTTTTGGAGATCATTTATAATAATTTATGTTGCTAGTCATGTGACTTCCAGTATTTGTATTTGCACCGTGGCCATGCATACGATATACTATAATACAATATTTCTCTATTATTATGAGTATTTTCATGAAATAGGATTCACTATGTAAACACACCCAGTATTGGACAGTGGGGTTGTGACATCACATTAATTCTGTTTCCAGAATGGTTTAAGCTCACAACGAGCCCCTGCACTGAGGAAGGAGCAGGGGCAGGAAGTGGCAAAGGTTAGTTTAGCCATACAGCAAACTTAGTAAGATTTTGGGGTTCATTAAAGGAACACTGCACATACCTAAAGCATTTAAATCTTTCTGATGTGCTTTTTGTGTCTTTATGAAGATTTATGTGTGAAGTGTGTCCTCTTTTTTCATTTTGCAAAAAAGTGCAGATTTTAATTGAAATTACCACTATCATAAATTAGCTATGTTTAACACCCCTGACAATCAATCAGATAACAAGTCATGTTACTTCCTGGTTGTTTAGCTCAGTGGAGGAGGCAGGCAATGAGAAGTCTGTGATTGGACGGCCACATTACATCTGGGCTTGGGAAGAATGGGAAAGCCTGCAAAGGCTGCAGACAAGAGATTTGCAGCTTTTGCAAGCTGTTTTTAAACTTTATCCCCCCCCCCCCAAAAAAAAAACAAAATTCATTATTTGATGCATATATGTTTCCATTTAGGGTATATTTGCTAAATAGTGATTTTGTTTATGTATTTGGCGAGTGGAGTGTCCATGTAAGTGTTTTAGGGTCACTGAAAAATGAAGATGCAGGGTTTTATGGAGTAGACCTTATTTGTCACGTTTAACCATGTTCTGTGCCTCAAACCAGTGGTGTTTTTATTGAATACTATTGTATCTTTGCTGTTTCATTGAATACCAAAACTGTCTGCTATTTTTATCTTGCAGTGGCACCACTAAATCCCCCTGCTGGTCCTTTTAGGGTACTTCCATGGATTTTTGCAGAACCTATTATGAGCAAGCATAAATCATATGAGCTTCGTTTAGGAAAAGTAATTTCTGCTATATTACAAAGAGAAAATTCTAAATTCATTTGAGTTTTTGCAAATCCTTGAAAATTGGCTGCTATATCACTGTAACCTTATTTGCATAGAGATAATCCCCTTTGTATCAGTGTAAATTAATCTCAGTAGTCATTTGCCTAACAAACTTGAAAAATAAATCATGTTATATTCTTTGTTTAACCCTTTGAGTACCCAGACATATTTGGATTTGGTGTTTAGTAGAAGTTAGGGGAATTTTAAGCATTTTGCTACGTTTTTACTTTAAATTGTATTCTTAAAAAAATGTACACTTTATCCAAAGAAATGTTCCTTTATTTACCGTTAATTATATTTACATTGAATGCTATAAGCATTTACTATGCAAAAAAAAACTCAATAAAAGAATAAAAAAAAAAAAATGTTCTTTTTTAGAGAATTTGATACCATGTGTATTGTTGGAATATCTATCCTGTCCTTGGCGATCACCAGAATTACCTGCCATGGCCTTATAGTTCTATCCAGACCGTACCAAGTACTTGGGGACACTCTTGAGAGACGAAACAATGGAGTCAGTTCAGAAAATGTCCAATGTTTATTAAACAGATCACAACATTTAAGGCAAACGCAATATGGGGAGTCTAGGAGAAGTATCATAAATTACCAATCAAATATTGCAATAGTGCAATAGTGCATACAGCATGAAATAAGAATGCAGCCATACATAGTTCCTAAACGTATCTAGCGGGCATTGCTAGGTGGGGTCTCCTACGAATAGGAGGGTGTAGTGAAGAAGAGGGGGGACAAAGATGCTCATGTGCAGAACTACATATGAGATGTCCTTGCAATGTACAAGGTTGTTAGTCCTATGATTCAGCTGACTAGAAAAGAACCCTCCCGTGTATCATATAATACCTTACAATCGTAATCTCTAAGGTAATCTCTATGGTACCACCAGTTGCAAAGGTACTTATGACTCCATTTTGTTTCCAGGTTTACAAAGTCCACTTCTGCATTTAATGTCTTCTTATTACTTATGTCCAGTGTGACCGACCACCTGGCACCCCGACTGGGTACATCCGTCAATCGCTGCTTCCTAGTATTTGCGAGCACCATAAGCACTGTACTGGAACACCATAACCACCATACACTCAAACAACCCGCCGCAGCTTGGTTGGGGATCCCGACCAAGACCAGAATCCAGCGTCCAGTGGTTGAACCTCTCCTACTCCAAGGAGCGTAGCTTATAAGAGCTAGTGATTATACTCAGGGGAGTATAGTGATATAGCAATCCCCAGAGTGAATGTAGTTCTCTAATCCCCCAAACATGAGCCAAGTAGAGGTATACGAATTGAATGTTTAATGAGAGCCACACTTGGCCTTATAGGACAATCCCCATGCAAGGGGACCTTGAGGGGGACTGATTTGCAACTTCACAGACCAATAACAGTAAGGTTACAAGGCACGACACTCCCACACACAGCACACAATCCCTCCCCTCTGCTTGGGAGATAATTGGATCAGTAACTGTACTAATTCTAATCCAATTATCTCCAAGCACAGAAAAAACATACTTTTTTAAAACACCCCAAAAGTACCCTAAAAATGCATAAAACCCCACAAATCCCTGATAGCCCTGGGTGACTAACATATCCAAAAATCACCCAGATCAGTTCAGGGGTTCAGGAATTTCCTGGAGGTCTTATTTTTGACCGACCTTGCACATGGTCTCATGCCCAAAACAGTTCCAGAGTTTAGTGCTAACGGTCGGTCTCTCTGTCTGGAGTACAAAAGTGCATACTTCGAATGAACAGAGCCTTTTAAAGTATTTTAGCCAGACCTATTGCTGGGGCCATAGTCACAGGGTAAGAAGCTGGCCAGCAGGCTCCTCCAAGAACCAGGGACGAGGTTCCGTTCGTCACATCCAACTTTACTAAAACCTTAATTTGATGCTTTGCAAAATTATAAGCAGATCAAGACTCCCCGACCCATCCGAAAATAGACACTAATCCAATCAAATTTATGACTTTTGACATTCAACTCATAACCGTCAAATAGTTATATAATATTATCCGTTGAAAAAAAAGTCCATCAAGTTCAACCATGAAACCCATCTTTTAATGATGTTGATCCAAAAGAAGGCAAAAAACTCAAATTTAAGCCGTTTTCAACTATGCTACAAAAATGGAAATATTCCTTCTTGACTCCATAATGGCAATCATATTTCTCCTTGGATCAACAACCTGTTGAAATGCATATCGATTATTTCATTGAATATTCAGTTATTCAAAAAATTATCTTAGCCTTTATTAAAAATATATATATATAATATGTTAGACAACCTCTTTAGGTAGAGCATTCCACAGCTTTATTATTATTTATTGTTCAGAGAACCCTTTTCTCTGCGGTAAGCAAAAAAATGCCTTTCTTCCAGTATCAATGGGTGACCTCTTGTCTGTTGTATGTTCCTAATGAACAGGTTAGCACATAGATGTCTGTATGTAGGGCTATCATATTCCCCCTGAGGCATTGTTTATTTTGAAAGAAAACAAATGAAGTGTTTCTAGCCTTTCTTCATAACTAATGTTTTCCATCCCCCTTACTAGTTTTGTAACTTTGCCTATGCACTTCTTCCGCAATATTTTTCTTTAAAACCGGTGCCCAAAATTTAACTGCATATGCAAGGTGGAATCTTGCCACTGATTTATAAATAGGCAAAATTATATTTTGATAACGTTAATCAATACCCCTTTGAAAGAACCTTGCATGCCTTTGCAATGGTAGACCGGCATTGCATACTGTTACATAGTTTGTGATATATGATCGTTCCCAAGTCCTTTTGATTTAATATTATCTCTAGCTCAAGCCAACTAAAGTATTAGTGGGTTCCTTATTCCAAAATGCGTGACTTTGCATTTATCTGTGTTGAATCTCATCTTCTTCTTGCTTGCCCACCCCCCAATTTATCCAAATCCCTCTGCAGAGAAGTTATGTCATGTGCAGACTATATTATTTTACCTAGTTTTTTGTCAACTGCAAATACAGACAAATGATTTTCATTGCCCACTTCAAGATCATTTATAAACAGATTAAAGAGAAGTGGGACCAGGACAGAAACCAGGACAGAACTTACCACTTTTGTCCAATTTGAACATTTTCTATTTACAACTACTCTCTGCACTCTACCTTTAAGCCAGTGTTTAATCCAGGAGAATGATTTGTTATCCAAACTAAATGAAATAGCTGAGAGCTGAGATCAGAGATCAGAGTGTATTCAGTGAAATAGAGATACAGGGAAGAGTTATCCAAGAATATTTAGCCGTACAAATTATGTACATTATTCATACATAAAGTAGAATAGAATTTGAGTAACAGCATAAAAGATAATTTGATGGGCATAAGAAGCCCTTTTAAAAAACAAAATTGCTCTTTCAGTTGCTTAGTAGATATGTCCCTAATTTGGTACTCCTAATTATGGCAATCCGACATAAGGATAAGATACCACATTAGGGAGCTCTCTACTAAACAGCTGAAACTAACAGATACTGTGTATTTACGTGTTTTTTATATTCTATTACAGTAGCTATTTAACTTTTGGATGCATAATAGCTTTATATTCGGCACATTGCTGGAGGGCTATTCTAATGCTGCATATTGGATTAAAGGTTTTCATTTAGTACCTGGCAATCCGGTCATCATTTTTAAGAAGAGGAAATTATCTCCCAAAATGAACTCCAGAGCTTGATTCTCCCAGGACTCAGCTGTTGGAGTGTCACATTGCCACTCACATTTTGTCAGTTGAATCCAAATTGGGGTTTTACAAGGAAAATTTTACTTTTTGTTGTGTATTTTCTTTTTTGTATTTTTAAAGTTGCGAGAGATCTTGGTTATATATGTATACACTAATAGAGTATTGTGCACAATATTTATTTAATCAAAATATAATCTTGAAAATCCAAGTGCGACGAGGCATGATCGGCTCCATTGGGATGTACAGTGACAGTTACATTGGGTGGACGCGGATGAGAACAGTGAATTAGGTAGGTAGTAGCAACATTCTGCATTATATATAATGAGTGTGTTTGGCAGACAGGTGGTGCTGTTACAAGTTGTTATGTACATCCTACAATCCTGATTGTTCTTTTGTTTTGATCTGATGCCTGTCTTTACAATATAAATATTAATGACTTGAGCTTATTTGAAAAAGCATTTAGACAAATGAAGAGACAGGCTTAAATGACCATCAAAGGACTCACTAGTGCAGTTCCGTTTTTAATGAAGACCAAACTGTAATAACAGATGCTTCAGACAGCAGCCCTTGTTTAATGTACAATGCCCTTAACAACAAAAGAACACTCACCAAATGTATTGTACAACAGTGTAAATCAAGCCATCCCAGAAGCTGTCCCCACCTCCAGGTGTCATTGTCATTCTGTGTGACCTAGCATCACCTCTTGAGACAGTAAAGATGTCAAGCATTACTGGTGGGACTACAACCCTCAGCACCACCAGCTATTGCAACAGAATTCTTGCCAGTTCCACTCTATTGGTTGAACTCACAGGCTCAGTTAAGAACATAAACAGATCTGAAACTCAATGCACTTCAGTGTGTTTTCAAAGTCCTACTATGTGACCATCTGCTCTACATTGTACGCTGTATGCAATACAGAATATGACCAAGTATGGATTGTCATAGCAATGCAATGTGCAAATATCTCTTTATAGCAAACTCAGATATAAGGTGTTTCCACTAGGGACATGAGGTACTTTATCACATTCTTTCTGAAGGTTCTACACATGATAATTGATTCAGTGCTTGAGATGTAGTAACCGTCACACATTACTAAAGGTAACTGGAAATAATCCACGTAGACAATGGACGTTAATACATGGGCAAGGGAGCTAAACAGAACTGAGAGAACAAGTCATCAGACACCAGGAAACTGTACCAGACTGCCCACGAGGGTAAGAAGAGGAAACATTGCAAAGCAGAAATATGACCAAATGTACATGGTCAAATGCCAACCTACCCAGCAAGCCTTGTAGCAAGGTTCTAGTGACAGCTACATCTGTGAAAAACAGGCTGCAATCAAAAAGGGAATGGAATAGTGCACCCAAATAGTAATAAAGTAGCAATGTACATTTTAATA